ATGGCTAATGAAGTAAATATATAGTAATGATTATCAGTATTCATTCTAAGCGATAAACATGAAAAAAACAGTGGAGGGCACTCTCGAGCCTTGGGCACACATAAACATGAAATGTGATTTTTGTTTTTACTACTCACCCTGTACCAAGACTAGCAGCTTGTTATTCTGTCTTCAAGGGACTTATTTCCCCTTTATTAGAGCCATTTGGTAGGTGGGTTAAGTTTAAGTCCGTGATGCTGTATAATAGTCAGCCTTTAAGAAAAAAGTAATAATGGTTTCTACTATGAAAAGACACTGATTCAACTAGGTAACGCAGTAGACTAAATGAATGCATAAGGGCAAGTAAAGCTTAATTCCACTCTGAAAAGTGAAAAGAAAAAAACACATTTTGGCTGTTGACACCTGAAGCATTAATAAACTTTATGGTGGAGCTTATATCCCAGTGCTGTAGTGTGTTTTCAGTCAAACTGGAAAAAGTGGAAAGAACTAAATTATGTATAGCATGGTAAAACAATAAAGGAGCAAAAGGCTGTCAGGCTGAAAGTATTGAATTAGAAAAAACAAAATGTGTTGGCTGTGGATATTTCTTTAGGTGTGTAAGCATGAAACATTATGTATTTTTTTTCTTTTTCTTGTTAGCCTGTAATAAACCTGTTTTATTCCCTGTGTAACCTCATGGTGAAGTTCAGCCTCATTACAATACTTAACTTCCCACCAATAAGCCATATAAATTCTCCTTTAATTCTTGGAAATAGTATTTTAAAAAAATAGAGTTTCTGTAGTTTATCACCAAAACATTTGGATTTATAGAAAGCCACTTAATTTGAGAATTTATTATGCCTGGCAATGCTGTTTGTAATTTCAGATATCTAATAGTACTAAATAACTTTCATATTCTACATTTAATTTTACAACATAATTTTCAAATGGTAGATCAGAAATATAAATGTAATAATAACCTATGAATCTAAGGCTGAAATATGTGAAGACAGACAATAAAATTATTCTAATGACATATTTTAATATTAGTCATATTTAAATATTTGTACTTACTGTAAATAGAGCCTTTGTTGAGTCTTGTATAATCTTTGGGATGGGGATACCAAATTATTTTTGGAGCTAAAAAGAAAGAATTAAATAAAATATAGTTTAGCCACTTAATGTTAATGTTAATGACTAATGTTAATAGTCTACACTTTTTTGGAAAAAGTATCAGTATTTGTACTCAAGGACCATATGAAAAATAAGAAGATAAACAGGAAAGTATAAACATCAAACTATGCATCTTAAGCCTTTATATAAATGGGAACTTGTATTTAATAATGGTAGGTTGCTTCTATAAATTGCAGATTGGCAGTCAGGGTGATGGTATTGGGGACATCAATTTAATGTCACGATTACAGTCCCCCCCTCCTTAAGGGTGCTCCATCCCTTTCACTCAAGACTTTATTCTGTGCACCTGATTCCTATTCCCAGCCCACCTTAAAAGCCAGGCGCTGACGCTCATCCGGGCTCTGTATCGTGCGAGTCCGGGACCTGGAAGCGCCTGGTCCCGTTAAGGTTTTAATCTCGGTTCCCGTTCCCTGTCCGCCGGTTCCGACCCAGCGTCTGGTTTTAATTCGGTGTTTTGATGGATCTCCTGGTTTTGGACTTTCTCGTGTGTTTTTGGATATTCCCTAAGGATTACTCTTTTGGATTGTTCGCCTCGGCCACACCTCCCCCGTGCACCAGCGCACCTTGGACACGCCCCCCTGTCTTCAGCCCTGTATTCCTGCATGACGTTTCCCCAGTGTTTCCCCCACTTCTTCGGATTATGTCGTCCGGAAACAACTGGTCGTTACATTTAAGTAATGTAAAGTTAAACCCTTTGAGATCTCACATTGGGACCTACTGTATATTCCAGAATGAAAAGGCAGAAAAGCAAATGAGAGAAAGAAACTTCAGGTTCACATCTGTATTTCTCCCCTAGTATGTCTGTATAATGAATCATGAAAAAGAACTTGTATTTCTGAATGTAATAGACCGTATTTCTAAGCCACTTGGTTTTCATTTGTATATTTTCTGCCATGAGTGCATTTACATTGTCCTAAATTTCAGGGATGAAATGCTTTTCATAGTTTATAGTTCCATTGTATTGCAGCTTGAAATCTATGCAATTTGCTTGCGGTGGATAGGGATAGAGCAAAACATGTTAGGTATTGATAAGACCTTAGCAATGTCATTCAAGGAGGCATAAAACCCATCTTTTTTTTCTGAACTAATTTATTCCTTCAAAGTGGAGTTATGCTGGAAATCAAAGAGCTCCAGTTATAATTCCAGCATGACTTTCCTGTAGTCGATTGACATTAGGCATGACACTAGCTTCAGTGTCTTTTTGATCTTCTCAAAGTGAAGAGACAAGAAAATTTTCAGTGCCACCTATTTACAGATAACTGTGTGTTTGCCGGTCTGCTTCCAAGTATTTGAGTGTTGGAGAATGAACAAACACTTTGATTTGAGAATAAAATTAACTTCACCTTTAAAGCTTCACGCTTTTCTTAGCATCTACAGTACAGAAAAGTGAAAATGTCTTTAATTTGCTCCCATGCTCACTGAAACTCATTTCCTAAGTTAGGCCAAAGAACAATTGTATGATAAATTGCACCCTGTTGTTCAACATAAGTGTCTTCAAGAAGTCTTCAAGAAACAGTCCCTTTAGTCTTATGCAGTTCACTGCTTTCTTTGCTGTGCAAACAACAGGATAACCGACCAGATCGTTTTTTCCTCACAGCCACCTGATGTATAATATAGCGCTGGGCTGCAGAAATGCAAGGTAGTCTCTTGTACTTTACTGATTCATTTGCTGTGCCTTTTATTGAATTTATTGTAAGGAATCTCTGTAATTTTGTAGTTGTCACTCTCACAAAAATCATATCCTGTGCTCTTGATGTCCTTGCTGACATGGGAAGGTCAATAAAGCTTTGTTCTTTCTTTAACTCAGAAGTTAAGACTTCTTCAATCAATAATATTTACATAATTTTTCGGAGCACACCATGCCAGAAACATCGACCATGCATCCTTTCAAAGATTTTTTTTACTCCTTCAGTAAAAACCTTCTTTAGCGTTCTTTAACATCAGAACATAACTTTTTGCAGTTGCTTCTTTAACTACAGCTAGTTGACAAAATATTTGTAAGTTGTAGCAGGTTTCTCAGATTTAATTGCCCTTTCCTCAGTTGCTAAGTTACTGTAATAATTAGGATGTTTAATGTAAAACGGACATTTGGATTGTACTCCCTGAACACCATGATGCTCTCCTGACAAATCAACCATTCTGTGATAATGGCTCAGCACTCACCATTCCCTTTTCTTTTTCGTCTTGCTGTCATCATTTTGGTAACAAAGCATGTAATTAAAAAAAAACATCTGCTGCCCGTATATCAAATGCTATTTTGCAGGATTGCACACATTTGAGATGAATATAAAATAGCATCATACTGTATACAGTATGTTACATAGTTGGAATTTTTAATACACTTTTCAACTATATGAATCAGAAGATTCCGAACTGTATAGGGAAGTGTTAGGCTGGATAGAAAGTGTTTGGTCCAGAGATGTTATTTCAAAATCAGGTTAAGCACCGACATTGATCAATTTAATACATTTTTATATATTTATAAAAATATCTCAGTCTTTCTGGATTTCCTTACCTAAATGCTTTTTTTGGTGCATTACAAAAAGTTGAAAGGCATAGTTGTCTGTGTTTCCTGTCCCAATGTCAGTTTATTTTGAGAACCTAACCATTGACACTACTTTTCCTTGGATTGTCTGTCTCAATGTTACAGATATATAAGGATCTCTTTCTTGAGCTGCAAGATATATAAAAAATATAACTGTGAAACTGTAAACATGATTTATAACATACATCACAACTTAAATCCACTTTTTACAATATTAAACAGGGCCCTCACTATTTTTGTAATTAATATCAGGCAGCTATGTTTTTTGAAGAAATCTAGTGCAAGCTGGTTGTGCTTCATTTTATAATCCTGCATCTTTTCTACTAATCAAAGGAATATTACTTGTCTACTTGTTATTACAACAAAGAAAAACAGCTGACCAGAAATTTAAACTAGTGGAAAAAGATATCAAATTCACAGCTACCTTTTTCAAAAAAGTTACATTACAGATGGAAAACTCAAGTTCGGCCACTTACAATATTTCACATTCAAACTAAAATCTGCAGGTTTTTATTCTTAATACTGTATATGACCTAATTAAGCAAATTATTTGTTCAATCAAAAACTCAGTGAACTCACTATTTTGAGGATTCCACTACATGGCATTAGGAAAATAAATTCATACTGTACAAGTGCTATAAAAAACATAGTAACCAAATAGGTGTGCAAAAGTGTAGAAGAAATGAAAAGTGTAGAAGAAATGAAAAAAATGCATCTGTAAAAGCAATAATGAAATATTACTGCAAAGGCTAAGAAACTAAAAGCTGGTAGGGCAGATACCAACAAGGATCGTGGATGGCCGAAAATACTGTAGTGGATTTCAATAGACCAAAAACTGAGAAGTCCGGATAAGGACAAGTGGCTTTGGAATAAGGGAAGGAATTATTAAAATTACTAAAAACAATTCAAATTCACAATTTTGAAGGCTGTAGATTTTTTGAGTGTTTTTGAAAAATATACATTACTCAGGTTTTGTTAAAGATTTACCACAGAGGATTGTCACTTACATCTGCTCCCGTCCTCCCCTATCAATCTCATTCCATGAGTATGCCAATGAATCTAGCACAAAATCAGTACCCCATTTGAACTGTCCTGTGAGTGGGGAGCAGAAACACGACCGCAAAAGAGATATTGATTTGTGTGTCGCAAACACTCTATCGATCTTCTGTCTGATATGCCCTGAAACGAGTTCTGCTAATGTGTCTCTCAAAACAAAAATGCAATTATCAACTCCATAATCTGCTGTTCAGGGGGATCCAGCTGTTCTATCTCTTTGTTTGGTTTGTATTCTCTGACATTCAATCAGTACCTCTTTGTTTCAAGTACATTTCGAACAGCAGTCTGCTGTCACCTGGTATGAAAACCTTTAATCTGAAATTTTAATCTGAAACATTTGGTGGTTTGGAAAGCTGCAAGCAAGGAAGGAGGGTTGTGAAAACTTATCGTCCACTCTCTTTATTTTCATCATTACAGGATCCAAGATGGGCTCTTTCTTTCGAAGTGAAGAGATGTGTTTAGTTCAGCTTTTCTTCCAAACAGAATCAGCACACTATTGCATAAATGAGCTGGGGGATCTGGGCCTGGTGCAGTTCAAAGATGTAAGTATGATTTTCAGTTGTGAAAGATTTTCTGTCATACAGAATCATTGCTGTTATCAAATCAAAAGCCCATCTTCTGTACTTCTGACAGAAAAGCAAAATACTGTGAAATATATATTAAAAATACTCATCTCACTACCCAGTTTTGCTTGTTTATGTCCTGATTACTTCACACAAATGCTGCTACCACGCAATACTGAAATCTGATTATATTTTCTAACGTTATTATAACTGTCAAGACTTGGATTTTAAAACATAATGAAAAAACTTTGCAATAAGCAAACTACAAGATATTAAATTCTGTTATGTCTATGTGAACTGTGGTGTTTGGAGTGCTCATTATTGACCATACTTATATATTCGTTTCATCTAGCTGAACCCTGGGACTGTAGCCTTCCAGAAGAGGTTTGTGAATGAAGTAAAAAAATGTGAAGAGATGGAAAGGATACTACGTAAGCTTTTTTCTGCTTTTTGTGGTCTGTCTTTGACACATATGATCTGACAGAACTGACCTAAAGGATTTGCATTATATACTGAGACACATTAAAATTGCAGCTAATAAATATGGGAACCTGTAGTATTTGTTGTAATTCTAAAAGCTCTCAATATGTACAGTATAACTGGAGACAACATTTAATGGTTCTTGTAACCCAAACCCTACACTGGCCTGAAATGCCCACTTATTTCAAAA